TGTCTACTTGGGTTTTAGTTTTGAACAGAGTCCCTGAGACAGTAAAGTATTTTTTCTCAAGCCTGGTTTAATCTCTCTCTCTCTCTCCTTCCCTCCCTCTCTCCCTTTCCCAAACCTATCCTATCCTAACCAAACCTGAAGGCACTGACATTGGAAACCAAAACCTGCACTGCTAACAGGACCTCTTGTTCCTGTTGCACTTTGTCAAACTTTACTCATGGAAGCCACATTTTTCAGGATGCACTTGACCACTGAAAAAATCTCCCCTGGTTCAGACACAATTATTTTTTGGGAGTGGCTTAGTTACTTTTTACTAATCGCTGAGACAATACATGATGCCCAAAGCTGGGAAAGGAAAGATTTATTTCTTACAGTTTTTGGTGGTTTCAGTCCATACTCAGTTGGCTCCAACACAGAGTGGCTTAACAGGGCCGCTGTTCATGGGGGCTGCAAACAGCAAGGTGGAAACCGGCAAGGCGCACGTGTGCGCGCACACACACACACACACACACACACACACACCCCTTCTTCCAGCCATTACATTGTGTGCTGGCTCCACCCCTAGGCAGGTGTAGCACTGACACCATCAACCCAAACGCTAGACAATGAACCAATCACAAATGCACAATGCAAACGCATGAGGCCTGGGGGCCACAGACATAAACCATGACTATAGAAAAGTACCAATGGATAAGAAAGAGCGAACTGTGCCTTAAAGGGCAGCAACACAAAATTATTGAGTTTTCTCCTTGGAAAAGGTCTTGCATTATTTGACGAGAGGTGGTGTTATGAATCCTTGACTGTATTGTATAGCCAGTTCTTTCAGATTTTTGTGAAATGTTTTCTCAAAGTCTAATTACAAAGGGAGTTTTAATCCACTTCACCACAAAGTATTTAAATCAGAAGAAGAAGACAAAGATCAGATATTTTATTTTTAAATTAGGTACATGTTTTATTTCACATTACCAATTACTAATATAACCATTGCTGATATTATTGACAGTTTTTTTTTCCCCCTAGGCAAGGATTTAGCTCAGTGGCATAAGCGTCTAGTTGGCAAGCACAAGATCTTGAGTTTCCTGGTACCAAAAAAAAAAAAAAAAAAGGTTTTCCCCTGTATCGTCCTCATTGTCTTAATAGTTTTCTCTCCCATGTCACAGCATAGGACTTACACCCTTCTCATTTCAACCCTCTCGCAATCTTAGCTCTACAAGTTTGACATTCACCAACACGCCTTTATCAGTCTCTCTAGTCCTCCTGGTTGTCTAATCTTCTGCAGATTCCTTAGGAAAAAAGGCTTTTGAAAAGAATATTTCTTCAGTTTTTGCATTGCTATGGTTTAGGCCTGTAATATTCCAAAATTTTTATTGACTATAAAAAATTCTTGGCTCACTTTCCCCACCTTAAATATTCCACAATACTTTCTTACAGGATAAAGCAAAGCTGCAGGAACATCTGATCTAGTTCTATGCTTTTAAGTCACAAGTTACTTTGTTTTGGTCTAGATAACTAAAGAGTTTTGCTTTTTGAGTTTCAGTCCTTTTACTAAAATTTATCTTCGTGTTGGTCTCTTTGAGTGACTGACTACTCACTGGTGTGAGCTTTCAATGTTCATTTGTTTTGTTGTTGTTGTTTGTTTGTTTTTAGAGACAGGATCTCTAAGGGTAGCTCAGGGTGGCCATGAACTCACTATGAGGCTCGACTGACCTTGAACTTGGCCACAGTCCTCTTGCCTCAGCCTCCTGAGGGCTGGGATTGTAGGTGTGCATCACCATGCCCAGTCTCATGTCAGTGTTTTCCTTGTTAATTTCAGGAAGTTTTTTTTTTTTTTTTTCCTAGCATGTAGTTTTTACTACTTGTTACTTTCCATTTGATTTTTATCTTCAAGATTAATATTATTTATATAGTGAACATTCTTGCCCATCTTCAAAATTTACTATTTCACTTGAATCTTTTTAAAATTTGATTTACATTGTTTTCACTCTTTTAATGAAAATTTACATATTTGATCTTGTATCCTGTTTAATGTTTAAACACATCCTTTTATGTTCTTATTGAGCTTAGTTAATATATAATTCATTCACTTAAGTGTACAATTTAATGGTTTTTAGTATATTCACAAGTATGTGCAACCATAACTACCATCAGCTTTAGAATATGTTCAAGGAAGAACCATACTACTCCGTATCATTCCCTACTTCTGTACCTCATAAGCAACCATTACTTTTGTGTATCTACAGATCTTTTTCTAGACATTTAATATAAATGAATCATGTGATCTTTTATAACCAGCTTCTTTCACTTCATTCATTTTGTAGCATGTCTTAGTATTTTACTTCCTTTTATGGCCAAGTATTCCATTAGATGAGTTTGTCACAAATTATTTATCCAAGAATGCCTATTTGGGACATTTCCATCTTTTGGCTTTATGAATAATACTGCACCTAGGCCACGGCACCTTTTTCATGAGCGAGGGCTGGACATAGGAGGGAATTTTAACTAAGAAAGGGACCACATTTTTAAATTTTAGATAATCCCTCTGGCATTGTTTTGAGGTCTACCAAACTGACAAATCTAGAAGAGAACTTCACTATAAAACCCAAGTTGAAAGATACTAAGAGACATAGAATTCTAAGTAGTATAGTGAACCACCCAGACTCTGGCTCATCTGCACAAAGGTGCTCTGTGATTACCAACAAGTTCTGTCCCAGTCTAATTCAGGACCAATATATGGGGCTGAGAAGGTAGACCACAGAAATTATAAGTCAAGCTTTTGCCAGCAAAAAGGTGAGTATTCTAAAGTGTTACAATTCTTTTCATGCTTTATTTATTAAGGTAAAAACTGAAGGTCTGTAGTGAGATCTAAAAAGAATCTAATCATCTACTTTGGAGTCTAAAAGTTTGTTTCTTTTTAGACTGTGATAAGATAAAGTGGCCAATGAAATATTTCAACACCATAATGCACTCAAGCTTTCAACGTTAGATGGATAAAAGGACTTTGCAACCATAATTAAGATTATATATCTGAAAACAGATGACCTGCGTATCTGCAAGAGTCCAGCCTAACACATGAACCATTAAAAGCAGTGAACATTCTCTCACTGAAGTGAGAAATACATGGCAGAAGAATTTAGAGAACTTCGAGACCTGAGAGGGACTTTCTCCACTAGTGTTTGAAAGGAATCCTACAGAACGCATGAGAAAGATGTAAGCAGCTGCTAGAAACAAAGACTGACCTCAAGCTGATAGCTGGCAAGGAAGTGGGAACTCAGTCCTACAACTACAGGGCTCCAACAGCTTGAATGAGTTTTTTAAAACAGTCTTTCCCCGAGTGCCTTGTGTCCCCTCAGTGTCCAGTTAGCTGGAAAAGGACTTCAGCCTGATGAGAATCCAGTGGAGACACGCCTTGCTCAGACTTTGAACAGACTCTCGATGTTGTTGTTGTTGCTCTGTGTTATTGCTCTGTGTTACAGGGGTTGAATCCAGGGCCTCCGCTCTGAGTTACAATCTGTAGAGAGTGGCAGAGCCACGGCTGAGTCAGAGCCTTGTAAACAAGTTGTTGGGACTAGAGCAAGGCCAGTCCAGCAGGTGTCTGTTCTTGGTGTTCTTCCCTGTTGACTACGATGTTTGGCTTTCAGGGTTCTCAGCAAAACACTGACCTTGTGCTTTCAGCCCCACTGCATGCCTGTCCCTTTTACAAGTGTATAAATAAAGAGGCAGACCAGTCACTGCCTCTCCATTAGGGAGGTCAGGTCCCACCTGGTCCCAGCGTCCCTTTTAGTATGTGTCTCTAGTTTTTTCTTAACCTTCTGCCACCTTTTCTCAGGATCTTGCTTCTCATGCAGGTTAAGGCAATACCCAGCCTTTTTAATTTTGAAACAGGTCTTGATAAGCTGCTTTCACAGGATTCAAACATGTGACCCTTCTAAGTGCTGGGATGTCAGGTATGCATTACCATTACCCGATTAATGGGTGTTAAGTTGTAAGGGCACAATTATATGATTAGTGAAAGCATAGTTATAGAATAACACACCTATAAACATTATAATAAAAAGTTAAAATCCAATAGTGGGCTGGGAATTTAGCTCAATGGGACAAGTGCCTGCCTGGCAAGTGCGAGTTTCTGAGTTTGATCCCCAGTACCAAAATAATAATAATGATGATGATAATAATAATTTAAAACAAACAAATAAATAAATAAATAAAATTGTAGCTTTTGCTTATGTTTCTGCTGCTTGTCACATAAACACCCTGCTGGATTCAGTCAGCCTTGACCCTGTGGATCCAGCTGCTTTTCTTCTGATAATGAGCTGGGCCAATCTGACTATTCTCAGATTACGTTTCCCTTAATTAAGAAAATATATTGCTTCTAACTGACTTCAAGGACTTTGTTTGGGGCAAAGTAACCCAGTCAAGGATACTTTTTAACTCTGCTTTGAACTCCCTCCTTTTGTCCCCAGAATGTTCCTATGCTATGATAAACAATTCCTTTTAAGCAAATATAGTTTTCCTGACAATATATAACAATTCAATCCATGTAACCAATCATGTAATGTCTTATACTTCCTGTTTATAAACTATATTTAAACTGGACTCAAAGCTGGCTCTTTGCTCGTTATTTGGATGTGGTCCTACCTAGCCTGCTAGCGTAATAAACACTGTCTTCTAGACTCCTCAGTACAAAGTCTTCCAATAAGGTTGACACTGGTTTTTCTGCCACAAAGCCACTAAGTTTGTAGTAAGTTGTTTTGGCAGCAACAGGAAATTAGTAGGTGTTTATAAAGGAAGGAAGCAAGCATTCTTTGCTCAAGAATAATAGCATGTATCCTGCCTTTGTACCCTACAAAATGGCTATATTCAAAGAAAGCCTGGAGTTATTTCCTTAAATCCTTCTAGAACACACTGGAATGGAGAATGGATTTCAATAGTATGAAGACTCAGAGAACATGATTTCACCTTTATAAAACCTAAGCCAAAAGATACCAAGACAAGGGGACTGATTATGATTTCACTTTTATAATTTATTAGCAACAAATCCAAATAGTGTAAACTATACAACAGGAAGACCAATGATCAGGGCACTATATTAATTTAGCTGACAAATGATGGGAGAGGGTTAGCTGGTGTGGAATAGAGTCAGATTGGACAGCAAGAGACACTGGTGTTGATTCTTAATAGTTTTTGAAGAGCTGAGTAGGAAGAATAGAGAATACAAGAGGAAGTACAAATTTGGGAAGAGATAATCATGGAGAACGTTTACTTGGGAACATGTTGAGCCTGAGGAGCTTATGGGAAATCCAGATGGTTTTTAGGAGGTAACTGGATATTGAAAACTAATCAAGAACCTCAGTAGATTCTCAAATTAGAGACCACAACCTGGGAATTATTAACATGTAACCGATAATTGACAATCTTCATGTGAACAGAGATTAACCCAAAAGATGCTTATAGGCTTTGAGTTGTGTTGTTTTAAAACACAATGAAAACTTAGTGGTACAGGGTTTGCCTAGTATATACGAGCTTCTGGGTTTGATTCCCCAGCACTGCAAAAATAAATAAATAAATAAATAAATAAATAAGCAAAATACACTAAATTAAATATAGAAAGATATACAGAAAGAATAACAGAAGGCTATGGTATCTAGAAAAGGACTGAAGAGAAAAAACTTTGAAAGGTTGACTGGCTGGCTAAGGTAGCGAATAATTGATAATTACAAAATAATAATTACAAAACGATTTTGGCCCATGATGTCTTTTAGAAAGAAAGAAAAAAAAAAGATAAGGTGATAGAGGGGCATGCAGCTTAGAATCCTCCTGTTAGCCACCACAATGTGCTGCCGGCCTGGGACAGCCAGGTTGCTGCTGGGATAATGACATTAAAGGTGGACCTGGTTACAGAAATAGGAAGCACAGGAAAAACTGATCATTTCTACCCAGCCATTTGCACACGAAGAACTTTACAAGATGGGTGTTTGTAATTTAGGGAATGTTAATATTGTGTTCCTCTTGAGCATACACCATCATTTAGTGAAGCTTTAGTAATTTACAAAATCAGTTACAGAGAAATTGGAGATTCCTCCCACCCTCCACTTCTTGTTTTTTTTTTTTTTTTTTGTCTTTTTGAGACAGGGTCTCACTGTGCAGTTCAGGCTGGCCTTGAGCTCACTTTGTAGCCCAGGCTGGTCTCGAACTCACAACGATCCTCCTGCCTCGGCCTCCCGAGTGCTGGGATTACAGGCGTGAGCCACCATGCCTGGCTTACCCTCCACCTCTTGCAAACACTGTTGCTGCATTAAAATGAAAAATTCAAAAAGAAAATTTAAAATTCAGTTTTGACAAATGTACTCTGGTTAAAAATTTCTATTTTTACTGCTACACATAAAGTGTATTAGTAACAACACTGTCAAAATATTTGATAATGTTTCAGATATATTATAAAGTATATATTCCAGCTTTTTAAAAAACTGTAAGCATGTTAAGTGCCATGTTTACATTTGATAATAACATTGGTGTACGATGGTTATTTACAAATAAATTTCACTAGCCAATTACTTAGAACTAGATTTTAAAGTTCCATGAAACCATTAATAGCTTTGAAAGCTTTGATGCGTTTTCATTAATACAATTGGAAAATGATGCTAATGTGTTAGAAAGTAGGGCTCAGTAGCAGTAAATTTGTTTACAGGGAAATTAAGGATAAAAAATAACAAGTAGCCACTATGTTTATAGAAAAGACTTAGAAAGAATAATGAAAACAATGATCTTGTTTTTTTGACTGATGGTACTATGGTTTCTATAATAAGATAGCTATATTGATACTTACAATTTTTTTACTGTTGGGCTTTTTTTATTGATATTTGTGTTACTATCACATACTTAGTAAGCATTCTGCCTTTCCAGGTTTGTCTAGCAGTAGAGTTTACATCTCTGCATAACTTTCGTAGCACTGAACTGAACTTATTTTGCATTGTGGAATTCCTGACTTAAAAAGTTAATATATAACATAACTAAAAACTAACATTTTCTCTGGACATGAGAGTTACACAAATGTTGCCTCAAACATAATGTCACATGGTTTTTCTGAGATGTTTCAACATTCCAAATATTAAATACTATTTTTCTATTCAATACTCATTTATAGATAACACTAATTTGATTTTGCTTGTTTCAGTGTTTAAATCTGAAAATCCACTTCCTTGTCCCATAAAGACCTACATATAAAAGAAAATGAGAAATAAAAAGAAATGAAAAATTCAATTTAGCTTATGTTGTAGCTATCTGTACATTCAAGTTTCTTCATGGAAAGCTTCCAGTGACTTTGATTACATCTTTTGCTGAATCCCAGTCAGGGAAGACATGAAGGTTGGCACAGCAGCAAGCCGAGTGAGCTGCCCAACCCAGCAGAGCCTCAGAGGGCTCCCTGCCGAACTGCCAGCTGGGGAAAGAGCAGCCCGCTGGAGAGAGAAGCCAAATCTAGGACTGCATAGTTATCATTTCCTAGGTGTTTTGGATGGGCTCAAAAAGAATTAAAATGTAACTCATTCCAAAGCTCAATATGATTATTTTAGGCCATAGACTAAACAGTACACTTTCATTCTCTTTTTTAAAAAATTTTTTCCATTCTCTTTTTGATGCCTTTGGTTTTGATTAAGAATCAAAATAGCTGTTAAGCCCCTTTAAAGCTCTCTAACAGACTAGTCCAAAATAGCATGTATGAAATATCTCCAGTATCTTTTATTGGTGCTTTAAAAAATTCTCTTTTTAAGACATTAGCCTAATGTTGTTGCATTTAACCACATTTTTTACCACAAGGATTAAGAAGTACTTAAGTACAATTTTATTCTGATTCGATGCCAAATATATACACAAAATTACTTGGATCATTCAATAAGTTACAGAATTTCATGTTTTAATAATAATAACAAGGACATAAATGATCATTTCCTGAGTTAAAAGTGCAATGTAAAATTCACTCTGTATTGCTAATAATTTATAGCATAGAAATGTGATCAAAGTGATCATTTACTTTATTATGTCATAAAACATAGCTGCTTATTTTAAAACAGTGATACAGTTTCAACATTAAGGAAATTTGTAATTCATAATAAAGAATCTTATATGTATCTATAACTATGACTGCCTTTCCAGGTAAAATATTAATAGTAAAATAAGTTATGGTATAAAATAAAGCCAACAAGTAATATGTACTGAAGGAATATTTGATTTCATTTAAGAAACTGAAAACTGGATTCTAGTTAACCTTGTAGTACTTACAAATATTTTCTCTTAAAAAATTTCTAAGCGATCACAAATATAGATAAATTAGCTGAAGTAAATGAAAATGACAGTTCTTCATTATGCTGTAAAACTGTGGATTTCATCTTTGGAAAAGTAAAGATCATGCAGCAACCTGAAAAACAAAAGAACACATGTTTTGTAGGGGATGTGTTTGAAAGCAAATAAGATCAACGTTTACCATCCTGCTATTGTCCTTTTCCATTTTCTCCATTTCATATATACTGAAAAAAATCCACATAGATCGCTTCTAAAAATCTGACAATAACTCCTACAATCATTGAAGATCTCATCAGTGTTCAAATTTGTACAGTTATTGAAATAGGCTGATTGTCTTTTAAGTGTATTTCAATCTAGAAGATATTTCTCATTCCCAATCATTCCTGTGTTCTGTAATTTATACATTTGAAAAAAGAGCAGGTTTTTATCTGTTGCATCTCCTGTAGTCCTCGTTTGGCAGCATCCCTGCAGGACTCTTTAACAACATACTCCTATGTCCACTTATTTCCATAATTTAACAACTAAATCTAGATGCTTGATCGGATACAGATTTAATTCTTTTTGACAGGACCATTTCATAGGTTTTGTTCTTCTAGCCAGCAGCACATAATATATGATGACCTTTTCTGATGGATGCTAGCAATCACTCATGAGGTGAGTATAGATCCATTAGTTCATTAGGGACTAAAACTGATGACATTCTATCATTCTTCTTTAATCAGCTAAGGAACTCTATGAAGACAAATGCATACTCACTTATTATGTGGTTATCTAGTAGTAGGGCAGAATAAGCTTTACTATATTTTCTCCTTTATTCATCAGTTTCAGATTGAGGAATTAATTCTACTAGCAGCCTGTCTTCATTCTCTCATTGAACAGGAAAAGCAGACACGTAGTATAGTTGAAAGAGAATTCAACTTGGGAAATGGTATAAAGTGAGACTAAACGCTTAGAGGTGGCTCTGTTTAAAATGCTGCTGAACTAAAAACCATTTATTTAGTACTCCTTGTAATAATATATGTAGTCACTATGCTAGGCATTTCAATGCTTAAGTATTATTACTTATTCCTGTTTACAGGTAAGTTTAAAAGTAGCTGACCCCAGGATACCCAGTGAATGACTGTACGATGATTATATGGGGTAAGACTGGAATTAAAAGCCCAATTGAGACAAAGGGCCAGTGGGTACAGGAGTTCTGAAGCAATTGTTAAGCCTCTCATTATCTGGGCCCATCCTATCTTTCTAGCTATGCACTGTCTCCAGCGGAAGAGGGCTGCATTCTAGCCAAACTTGTGTAGTCTTTTGAAAACATCTACTCTTAATGCATCTGTTCCTTCTTTCTCTCTGCCTCTCCCTATCTTTTCTAACTAGTAATGTTTTAGTCATCATCCAACAGATCTTTTCTGACCCACTGCTGTCTTTTCAACATACATACCACTGGATAACAGTAACTTTTCTCTCTCTGAATTTTCCTAACATCTCTATTTTATCCTAGTAGGAATACTTATGAACTGAGTCATATTTTAGTTACCATTACGTGTATCTGTTTTCACCAGTAGACAGTTAGAAACTTGGAGAAATCAAGGTCTATTTAGGCAGCGGATCAAAGGATCACTATTGGTTGAGCTTTTTTTTAAAAAATAGGCTTCTGAATCTTGTTTGTATTATTTTGTTTTAAATTGGCTTCTAAGTTTTCCTGTTATTATATCATACAAACTGGTAGATATTCACAAAATATGGAGAGTATTTTTGGAGTGATTATTCATTTGTTTCTCCATCCTGAGGACTGGGTCTAGGTCCACATAAAATGGCAGAATATATATATAAATATTATATACATGTATGTATATATAGGATGCAATATATACACATATATTATACTTTAAATCATTTCTAGATTACTTAAAATATTCAATACGATATAAATGCTATATACATAGTTGATACACTATATTGTTTAGGGACAAATGCACCCCAAAGAGTTTGTACATGTTCAGTACAGCTGAAATTAAAAAAAATTTCATCTACCAGTTGTTTAAATCCATTGATACAGAATTCGCAGATATGGATACTTGCAACCTATGTGGCAGACTTGAGACTAACTTTAAATGTAGTAGGAACAAGTATGTCAGAGAACAAGTCCTTTTACAGAAAATCAATCAAATGATACCATAAGAAATTCATGTAAATTTCAATTTAAGAAAGACATGTTACATCCCTTAAGACTGAAAGGACAAGAAAATCCAAGATGAGCTCTAAAATGAAAATCACAAAGTAGATGGTGTGAGTTTCAAGTACTGATGTGAAACGTGTCAAAAGGCAACTCTATGCAGCATGTTCAAGTATAATATTAGAAATTTCTACATGATTAATGAATTTCTGGGTAAGTCAGCTAGTAAAACATTAAAAAATTAACTTGGTGGGAAAATTAAGAGTTATACAGCTCAGAATTGATTTTAAAAATACAATAATCATAAGATTATGACTACTTTGCTTTTTAGGTATACAGTGTAGCATGACTTTAAACCTCTTAGCTTTTGCACATATGTGGCTGATAATGGAGAACACTTACAGCATTAACCTTTAATCTACGTAGATTGCATCCATCCTTTTACATGGCATTCAGTATCAATGTCACCGTCCTGTCAAACTTTAGTTTCAACCTGCAGCACATCGACCTCCTCGGTGTTCCCGTCTTCATCTTTTTCATCATTTTCACTGCTGCCAAAGGTTCTTCCTCTGCTTCTGTCTACCATTCTATAAACGGCTTTAGTGTGACATCAGTCTGATTGGCAAGCTCTTTTGAAATGTACTTCTTAGATGCCTCTTCTGCCCAGCTCATGATGACCTCCTCTTCTAAATGGTCTGCATCATGCATCTCCTTCCAGACACATGGGACAGTGGAGAGGAGCTCGGCTTGATGCTTTGGTCCCACACACTCCGAACCATGAAGACGGTACCGCTGAGCTTTGTTGTGGTAGACTCTTTTTCTGTATTTCTTAATTTTTTTCTCACCTTCTTATTAAAAAGAACTTCAGTAAGAACTTTTACATCTAGTCTCTCTGCTTTAGCAACAATTTGTCAGATGATTCAATAATGTCCTCTTCTCTCTTTTCCTGAACAAAATCAACAGGGTATTCATACATTCTTCTACAGTTCTTTTCAAATCATCACAGTGTCAAGGATTGCAGCCTCTGACTCACTTCGCTCACTCCATGCCCCTGCTTCTTCCTCAGCTGTATCCTCCCCCCAGCCGTCCTCCTCCTCTGCCTCCACAGCACATAGGGAAGGACTCATTTCACTTAGAAGTGGTGGTGGTGGTGGTGGTGGTGGTGGTGGTGGTGGTGGTGGGTCCTCTCTGTGGGATTCAAAGCCATTTTCCTTGTCTTTGTCCTACTTTTCTTTTTGTACCACTGTAGCTATTCTCAGATAGGCTTTTGAGAATGAATGTACAGAGTTTGTGATGTGTGCTAAGCATGCTAGAACAGTTACACACTTTACAAGAATTACCTACTGCTTCTTCAGATTCATATGCAGACCTGGTTTAGGGATCTTGCACTTGGAACAGAGAATAAATTTTTAAATCCACCCAACATGTCTTCCAGCTGATCTGCCTCACAAGATCCACTGGTAATGTACCGATCCGATATCCTTTGTCCCAAACTGTGTTTGTGCTCCCAGATCACAACCAAAGTACTACTGTACATGGCAGGATATACTGGAAGTTGATAACTGCCTCTGAATTCAACCATGTTGACTATAACTGTCTTGATTCCATTTCTCTTGTCCTCAATCTTGGCAAACACATGAGGGCATCTTCTAGTGCCAGAACTGGTCAGAAATGCTGCAGTTGATACTGACAAGACATTTTGGCTTATTAGTAGGTTATCAAAATAAATAGATCCTTAATGGTAACTTTTTGGTATCTTCTGTCTGAAGAAAGGATGACATAGATGGCTCCTACAGTTCTTGGTTTCTGACAAGAGAAATTTGTGCCACTGAGGCTGTAAGCCTCTTGCTTGTATGCTATGTTTCTCCAACACAGGCACAAATTTCAATAAATAAAGAAATAAAGCCAATGTGCCTTGTCTGGGACTGGGAAGAAGGGGTAATGGAAACTGGTCCAGAGCAGAGGGACAGGTCGCAAGCTAAGAGGCTAAGCAGGGAGAGGGGCTGTCCCAGTGACATCTGTGTCCACAATGACAGCAACAAGCCTGGAAAAATAGCCAGGACACAGCTATGAGCCCCACAGGCTGCTGGGCAGTACCTTCCCTGCTACATAGCGGAAGGTCGGGAGTGCTGGGCAGGAAGACTTCAATTCATGATCCTCCTGCCTCAGCATCCCAAGTTCTGGGATTATAGATGTGTGCCATACACCCTGAAGACTATTGAGGCACGTGTACTCAGGCACCAGTATGGGAAGATAAAGTTTACTATAACAGGAATTAAAATGAATGACAGTACCAGCCCTCAAGAAGACCATCATGCAAGGGAGAAAGAAAATCTAGTAATATTATAGTACTTCCAAAAGACAATGCTACTCAGCCAGTCATTTAATGCTGAAGGGTTTATGATTTAATCATTTAAAAGTATTAGCATCCTGCAATCTACAAAGTACTCATTGAGATGCAGTACTTCTAAGACAGTGGTATCACACAGAACACAATGTAGCTCATAGCCTTTTTGTTCACAGAAAATTAAACTCCTTTAATTTTTTATTAGGGCCAATCTTTTTGTAATTAAAAACAAAACAGCATGCTAAATCTAGGAAATGTTAGGTTCAGTTACACACTAACAAGAAAACAGGAAATTTAACACAAGTATATTTTAAAACATCTTGGAACTCAATAATGGCTGTACTAAAATATTTTAAAGTCATTGTAGAGTTAAATCACATCAAAGTGAATTTAAAATACAGCAGTCAAAACACTGGGGCTTTTTTTGTTTGTTTGTTTTTGTTTTGTTTTGTTTTCCAGGGTTCAACTATTAGTCCTGCCTTATTTGTATTGTAGTACATCTTTTATATCTTGCTGCCTGGTTTTGGATCATTGTTTTTATTATTTACTAATTTGTACCCAGAAGCAAAAAATACAGATTGAAAATCACAATGAGATTAACATGGCTTATCCGTTACTTTTTGCATTATCAAGCTTTGGTAGAAGAGGTTCAGCTTAATGTCCCAAATAAGACTGTGGCACCAATCTTGTGAATGTCCATACTGCCAGTCACAGGCAGGGAACACTGACCGCTGGCTATATATTGCTATTGAGCACCTAGATAAACACTATGCAAATTCTGGCCTCCAATCCTTTACCTGTATAAAGATTAAAAACACTGTTAAAGGATTATTAAGGTGTATGTTTGTATGATTAGGGAGACCCAAGAAATAACTGAACCAGTTTTTATGAAGATCTTTAGACTGTGGTGCATGGCTTCCCATCACAGTGCTACTCACGTTATTCCTTGCTCTGTAAATGGTGTTGGCCCACAAATGCAGAGGAGGACTCTGGAGTTTTCTAAACTTCGTTTCAAAAATTCAGAAAGAACAGCTGGTGAAATTTGTCCATGCTTGCCATTCCATGCAGACGTTGGTGCTGAGAGAATATATTCAACATCAAATCTAGGCAAAGAGAGTTTGAACAGTCTATTATTTGAAGCATGTTATTAGCAAGTTTCAAATTCAGTGGAACACCTCTCCTAAAGAATAATTTAAAATATCAAGACTGATACACTTGGCATACAAGTAAACTGGTATTTACTAAGGATTAGCTTATGCTGTAGACAAGAAAGTAAGTCAGTATTTTGACTGAATTCATTGAAGAATTCCAAGGGATCTCTTCCAAGGGACTCCATGCTTCTATTTAATAATGCTCACAATAAAGAGCAATTTTCAGTGATGTGTATTTTAATCTCTGGTTCAAAATTCTCCAGTAATTTCCAAGCCCTTACAACCAATGTTACCAAGACGTCTGTTTGACTCCTTGCTGTTGCTGTCTCCAAGACCAACAGCTTCAAATTGTGATCTCCCTGCCCCTACCTGATGTTAACTACAAAGGGCACCAGTTGGCTCGGTCATATGAGCCAGCGATCTAGGATTTATCCTGGGAATCTTCTTCTGCCTCACCACCCACATCCAATGTATTACCAGGCCCTAGCTCCTAACTCATTGCTTTTCTCAATCTTCGTTGCAGTTGTCCTGCCCATTTTTGGTCTTTCTGTAAAGCTTTTACTACCCTCCTCATCAGTTCTTATTTCGACATCATGTCCACAGGCAGGCGCTGCAGCCCCACCAGCCTAGAATCCTTAATTACATTACAGAGAGATTTTCCTTTTCCTTTGTGGACCTTATTTCAGGTTGTAAGTATGTATTTCTTCAATGATTATTTTATTGTCTACATTCCTCATCAGACTACAAACCCCATGAGAACAAGAATCATGTCTGTTTTGGCTATCACTGTGTCACAAAGGAACATTCCAACATCATGAATAAAATAAACTAAAGAAAGTGTAGAGTTAACATGGGAAAGAATTTGAGGCTAAATCTCACAATGTAATCATAGACTGTACCTTTCCACAGGCTTAGTAAACTATTAAGTAAAGCTGAAAAGCTAAAATAAATTCAAAATTCTGTGTTGTACCTGTTCTGTTTGCTCTATCTTAGCAAACAAAGTAATTATTAACATTTTCAATAGCATCAAATCAAATGCATTCCTGCGTGTTTCAGTGAGTAACTAAGATATCTCCTGAAAAGTAATACTGTAGGTATTGGTTACCCATTAATTTAAAGCTTAAGAAGTGTTGATGCAAACAGCTTGTCATTTGAGGAGACAAAGGAACTAAGAAGGAACAGAACAAAAATGTGTCTGAAACAGCTGCTTGCATATTAATATGCCTTGCCTTGATTAAAGTTCCCAATATCTGATAAGCCTGGCACACACAGACCAAATAAGAGCACCAGCAAGAGAACTGTCCTTAAACCTCAGAGATTCTCTTGTGAAAGAAGGGAGGAAAACTATGTAATCTCCCACAACTCGTAATATTTTATGATTTTAAAATCAGAACCCTATAAAACTATATTTCTTACCTTGGAGGTCCAATTTAATGTTAGTATTAATCTATTTTATAGACAATAGTTTTCCCAAATACAAAATGAGCAGCCCTAACCTGAAAATCTGAAATCAGAAGAGCTCCAAAAATATGAAACTTTTTGAACATAATGTCATATCTCAAAACTTCCAAAATCCAAAATACCAAAAACTAAAACACTTTTAGTTGCAAGCATTTTGGATAAAGGACAGTCAATCAGTACTTTACTTCATTAACTTAGATTTTCCTTCCTAGTCCTTAAATAGTTCAGGGAATAAAAGAACTTATTTACAAAGAAGAGATACTGGCTAAAATTTATAATTGTACTTGGAAAAACAAGATCATATGGTGTCATATATGAAACTATATACATAAATGTATATAAGTTAATAAGTACTTTTTTCTGGAAATAAGCTTTCTAATCTTTCATTAGCATATCAAAGGGATTCCCAAAAGCAGCTATAGAACCACTACCTAAGAAATTCCCAATTACATACATATATTGGGATGAGACAGGAAGTACATGGTTAAATTACAACTGAACAGTGGTCTCTCATAGATCTACCTCTAATGAGCCTATCATTGGAATAAAATAAGATATATAAATTGATGCTGAAATCTATGTAATCTGTGGTAAAGACCTAATCACAATTTTTATTTGCTGAGATGCTTTAAAAAAACTAATCAATAGCAGGCATCTACTAGACAGGTAGTATGTAACCAGGACCTTCATATAAAAAGCATACATTTCTTATGCATTTTGTATTTATTTACATAATGGTCACTTGGTTATAATTTTTGTTGTAACCTAGTTCTAACCAATGCGCCTCCTTTCTGTTCTGTATGCGCCGTTTCAATACAGATTAAAATTCCATCTCCAGTAAAGACTTAAGTTTCAGCTCCTTGTAAATCTCCCTCCGCTCCCCATTCTTTTTAGGTTAAGTAAGCTTTAAGTTTCAGTTTCTTGTAATCCCCCCCACCCCCCTTCAGCCTATCTGCAATACAATGTGCTGTCCTTAAGAAACCTTTAACTACAAGGAAGTTATCAAACTGGGTCAAAGTTCACAACATTCCTGTGGTTTTTCAGCTTTAAAACCCAACCCTTTTAGCTGTAAGGCGCGCAGTCTCCATATTGGCTCCTGGAGGCTGTGTCACCAGGCCTGGCCTAAAATAAAGCCTTTGCTCCCCAAATTTTAATTTCTTGCTTCCTTGGGTTCTATTCCAGGGTCTGAGCTTTCAAAACTTTAGGTACCTAATGGAAAAAGTGAACAGATGGCATGAATACAATTTAAGGATGCTGCAAAGAGGCCGCTATTCTGCATATCACCTTCTTCACAGAAAGAGAAAAGTGCTTAAACAGGAGCAAGAATAATTCTAAGCCAAAATAAAGAATTCCTTAATGAAGGACTTCTTATCTCAAGATACACATCTTCTCTTGGAATTTTCTGAATGAAAGCCAACTTACTGTCTGAAATAATTACAGCACTTAATGTGATGGCGAGAGCTTATCAATAAACATCCTGAAATTCCTCTCTGCTCTATGATCTCAAAAGAGCCAGAGAAGATTGAGAAAGTTTGTGAAGAATGCCTCTGTTATTAACTATCAATGAAAGTAAATACATTTGTCAAAGCTTTTATTTTCAAGTAGACCGTCAGTGGTCTCCGAGGAAGACTAGAAATACAAATGTAGCAAAAAGAGCTTTGTTATGTTTGTGTTATGCTTAAGTTATATGACCAAAGTACCTGTAACTCTGCCTGTACTGTACTGTTCTGAATGCGTCTTTTTTTCTGGGTGACCTAATTGATATGTTAATCAATGCTCCCCTCTGTAAAGAATTATAAATCCCTGGGAACCTGACCTAATTGATATGTTAACCATTGTTGCCCTCTACAAATAACAGCTGTTGTGCTAAAATAAGTTGACAAAGGATTGTTAATTCCTGCTAGGCTTTTCTGTCCTCTGCAAAGGGAAACAAAGGTCTTCCTCATTCTTTAGCAGATTTCCTGATCCACACCTTATCCCTTACTTTGTAAACTGTGCTTTCTACAAAAAGTCTGAAAAGTTTTGAGGGAGACACACAGCTTTTGCAAATTCCAACTGCACTGGGTCACTGGGCCCAGGATAAAATAAATCAGCGCTGCTTTTTAAAAAAAACATGTCTTGCCCCATTTTTGGACTTGAGGCTGGGGACTCTGGGGGGCTCATTTGTGGATTACAAGAGTACTCATTTCAAATCATATGCAGATCCTGCATATGCAGCAACTTTTATTACCCTCTCCTCCTGCTCCAGCCATTCAGCTTCCAACATCCACCTCCTTCATATTGCTCACAGATGCCCTCCCACTTCCTCATTTTTACTGCTACAACACCAAATCAGGCCCGTACATCCTGTCTAAAATACTACTCTTAATATCTTAGTTATAATCTGTCTGACACTCCACTGCCACATTAATTCTGAAAACCCAGATTCAACCTCCTTACTTCTTTGCTTAAAAAACTGCAGTAATTTTCCATTGCCCTCAAATTAAACTTTCACAGTACTTGGGGTCCCAGATTTTCCTAGTTTATCTAGTTAATGGAAAGTACTAAGTACAACACTGAACTCTGTTCTGTGTTAAAATATCAGAACATTCTGGCTCTCATGTTGTTACTTGTGTAATTCTACTACCCACACTTCCTTTCTTGTTCACAGAAATGCTAATTTATTTTCTAAAGCCCAGCTCAAAACCTTCCTTCATGCAGCTCTGATATTGTATCCTCATTCTCACAAAAATACAATTACCCCTTCTTATCCCTAGACCTCCACCACACATTGTCTATTCCTTAGAAGGCATCAACTTTTACTGATACATTTCAGAATGCCAGCACTAGGGCAGAGTCAAAGGATGAGACATAATTTAAGACAGCATTTCAATTTTTTTAAATACAAAATTTCAGAGAATTTATAGGTGCATAATTCAGTATAATTTAACAAAATGTGTTATGGTAACAAATTTTGTCAGCACTTTCTCACTAAAACTACAAGTGACATACGATGGTCAAGATGTCAGAAAGGGTAATTTAATATATATTTAAACATTACCGGCCTTAAATACTAGAACATGCAATACCATTAATTAAAATTACACTAAATCTGAGCTTTTACTTTCCTTTTATGTGTGGGAAACAATCGTGATTTGACTGAAGAACATTACTCAAACTCAACTCTAAGCCTTTAAGGCTAGATACAGATTCCAACATACAGACTCAGCCTATGATTCCTGATAATGTTCCAAAACCATCTGTATGAGCGTGGCCTTCAGCATTCTGATGAGTGACTGCACTAATCTCACTAATAAAAGGCCAGGACTTTACAGAGATCCTAAATTAAACAATGCCCATTTAGGCCCTCAAGCAAGGAGTGCTAAATCTCCAGAAAAGAAAAAAAAAAAAGTGGAGGAGGGGAGGGAAAAAACACAAAAAACAAGCATAGGTGACCAAGAGGAGAGGAAGAGAGGGATCAGAAGAGGGAAGATTAGACGCAGGCTAGAATCACTTCTCTCAGCAAGCTGGAAATTACCACTCACCTGGTGAGTGCAGTTATAGCCTGGCATCCAGAGGTGAAAACAAGGGGCCTTTCCTCATCCTCAGCACTCCAGCCAACCTGCTTCCACCACCCCAGTTACAAGACCAAAACCCAACCAAACCAAACACACAAGCAACTTTGTCAAAAGACACTTATGTTCAAAAGCTGCCAACACATTCCTTTTTATGAGTTAATCTGTAAACCACATTTCACTTCTATTAAATTATTAAAAGTACAATGGCTATTCAGTAAAATAACAATAAATCTCTTTAAAAATTTTATGAATTTTTCTTTAGGGAATTTATCTTAATATTACTGTGAAAAACCTGCCAGAGATACAGTTTTTAAAACCTAGTTTACAAAGTCTACCACTGCCTGTTTAAATTTTTATTTATTTTTTGGTAAAGAAGATTGAACATAGGGCCTTTGCAGTAGCTATATCCTCCGGCTTTTTTTACTTTGAGAGACAGCCTCACTAAATCACCCAGGACGGACTCCAACTTTTAATCCTACTCCCTCAATCTCCCACAGAACTGGATTAAGGTTTGGGAAAGAGGAGCTCTAATAGTTAAGATAGAAGCCACATACTTTTGTAACCACAATCCAAACATCTGAGGAAAGGCTTTACAGTTCTCAGAGTATTTACATTATCTTCTCCAAACCTCACATTTCTTAATGAAAGAAACAGGAAAGGCGTCACTATTTTATTCAGAAGATAAAGAGACAGGCCCATAGAGCTACATAATTTTGATTAGTCTCAAGTCATAAAGTTTAAATTTGAGTACAATGGAAACTTGAATTTAGGTTTTAGGTTTCTAAAAAGCTTCATAGTGCAAAAGATGCATGAAAACCTAAGACTTGGTATTTCTTTAAGGAATTCTTTAACTTGCCATACAGTTACCTAAATATAGTAAATACTCTTGGGTTTACGCTTTAAGTATATATATATGAAACTATTCAATAGGGATAAAAAGGTTCACCTTAGCCTTAATTTTATGAAAGTAATTAAAAGAGCAAGAAAAGAAATATTTATAAGAACCTAGAACCCTTATGACAGCTAAGTTTCTAAGTTGACTTTACAAAGGCCTAGAATTTTACTTACATGAGACTATTATGCTTTCACTTCAGATACTTTGTACAACTTGTACAGCCCTGAATTCTAGCTTTTAATGATAAAAATGCTTTACAAAGTCTGATAGCTTGTCTAATTCATTCTTGTAAAAGACATTTGTTCTTGAGTTTCTTATTATTTTCAAATATTTTAAAGGAAATTGCTGTATATGCTTAAATTATTTTAGTTGATTTTGCTGGACTCTTCTTCAATAAAACAAGTTTTCAATTAGCTGTCCTTTCTGTCTCTTGACTTCAGTTTGACTAAAACTGTTTTCTCTCCGTTTGACTAGAATTGTTAGTAATAGGGCTATATATAAATGTTAACACAGATAACAAAAATGAAGACAATCTTGCTAAACAATAAATCTCTTTCCAGAAAAATCACTAAGAGATCTTCTAGGGGAGTAACTAAGGCTCTAAAAAACCCTGTGATACCTTTAATTTTGTTTACTCTAACCTTATCAGATTTATTTTATCTATTGCATTATACAAGACAATCTCAAATTAACAAACTGCTTACACTGAAGCATTTTCAATGAAACTCAAGTCCAGCAGTATATATATTTACATAATACATTACCTAGATTTTTATCAGGCAGTATTTCTTTGGACATAGAGGCTTTTACATTATTTACATTTTTAGAAGGCTGAATTAGCTTGTATTTTTCTTTGAAGAGCTTCCTGGTCAATTCAAAACTTAGACAAAGCCTAGAGTTAATACACAGATATAATTATTTAGAATTAAACACCAGTGTAATACCTTTTGTCCTTAAGTGCTAATTTTTCCAATTGGTTTCTCCAAATTATATCATCCTCTGTTTTATTGAAGAACAATAACTTCAACTTCCTTAAAAGAAAAAAACAAAGAGTGTAATGTAACTAATTAATTACATTTAAAATATAAATTTTAAGTGGAACATCTTAACTAACCTAGGGTGAATTCTTTTTAGAAGTGATTAGGTAAGCAAAAATATCAAAAACTGAAATGAGATAAAAGAACCAAGTTAATAAAATAGCTATCACTACACGAGGCAGAGTAAAAAATGATGAATGAGAGAATGAGAACAAATCTAACAAAGTCCAAGTAACACTTTAGAATACCTTTCTAATGATGGTAAACCTTATAGAGCTGTCAATGATAACAATAGCTGGCTGCAGCACATATGCCATAGATTCACCACACTGCCTCATCCTGACAAACAGCAGTAATTAAAGGTAACATTACATACCTGAGACTGGGTACATTACTCAAAGCATAATTCAGTATTTTAACCATCGGTGTGAAGCCTGTTCCAGCTGCCACTAAAAAGAGATCTTCTAATTCCTGGAGTTTGGATTTTTTAAAATTGCCCTCAGGACCGCTTACAGAAACAAAATCTCCTAAATAATAAAATATACAGTAAATCAGAAGAACAACCCAGTAGAAAAACTGAGAAGGATGAATTTAGAACATCAATGATTAACAGAATAAATATTTAATCTGCTGACTACATATCAGTCTTTAATATATGTAAGGAGTTTCAAAGATAATCAGGCTTCCAAGTAAGTATGGATTATATTACTATAATCAAATTAAAAATGAAGTTTAATTATATCATCTCCCACCATTATTTTCTAAATCTAAAGCCTATAATTTATAAACTACTGCAAAGTATTTGTCCACAAGTGATCAATAAGAACTAACTAAATTATAAGCATCTCAAAAGCAGAATCCAGTTATATCTGTCCTGCACAATACATGGTACAGAATATACTGGCTATTCACATATTGATTATACAGCCCAGATTTAATAGGAAAGCAAATTAAAAGCAAGTGTTTTTAAAATCTTACATCAGTAAATATGCTCATTTTTCTTCCATCAAATTTTTGAAATATCTATCAATTAAAATAAGAAGAGCCATTCTGAGTCAAAAGCAATGAGTTATACTTGGAGCACATTGGTTTCCAATCTAGAATCAACACAGATAAGAAATCAGTACCCAGTTTATACAGTGTAGCTGGTAAGAGTATCCATGACGAAGTACTCATGACAAAACAGTAACACATGACTACTAAGTGCATGTGGTATCCTGTGGTGCATGTGGTATCCTCAACTTAGTACAGGTATCTAGAGCCTTAAACATTAAACATTCCAGGCAAAGGCTAAATTAATGATATAAAGGTTGTTGGTGAACATGGGAATAAAACAAAAAGATGGATGATTTTATAAGGGAATCCATTTAGGCCAAGATAAAGCCTCATAAAAGTGTATAACTCTTAAGTGACATAGTTTGTGACATGTCTATAGTTCCTGGATGAAGCTGAAATAACACTTCATTTTATTGTCTGGACACTAACTCTCTAGTGTGTTCACAAAATCTCTTTAAATAGGTTATAACACTGATCATTAAGTTTCCACTTACTAAATTATAGTCATGTACCAATCTTTCCTTTACAAGGTGATAACCCTCTCATAACTTGTGTGTATTCCAAACTACATCAAGTTCACATTTATATACAGTATTTTGGGTTATGTAAGCACTGATAATTATATCTGCTATGAGTAATTTCCTTTAACTTTCAGAAAGTAGCATTTTGCTTCCAAGAATCAATTTGCTTCCAAATTTTAGTGATGCCCTTCGTTGTTACCCCAGTATACTGCTAATGCTGTGTTAGAACACTTTTGCAAATAGATAAAAAAGTAGTGAAAGGCAATAGAGGAAAGTTATTAGAAGATATAGAAAAAGAATTTGAAGCAAGAAGAAAGGTTTTAAAATCTTAACACATGTCATAGTTCTTTTATTCAGTCCTTTAAGGTACATCTAGTATGTGCCAACTGCCACATTAGCCTATTATGTGCCAACTGTCATGACAGATAGGGAATACAAATATAAGTAAGATAATTTCTGCTCTTAAACCCTAATAAAGAAGAAATATATTTATCCTTGGAATTACAACTAAATAGTTACCGGGCGTTTCAGAGGAGGGAGGCTTCAAAAAGGAAATGAGCACTCATGGCATGAGGAAGGTAAATTGCTGTGAGTTCCACAGCCTAGGCAAATTGAGTTCAAGACCAGCGTATGCGACTTTGCCAAAAAAAGGGAAATGATATCTTGCTTGAGTCTTTAAAAAGAGGCCCTTGAGAGACAAAGGGTTTACAGACATCTTAGGTTAGGTGTCTGCTTATACTATGAATACAGATGACAAACTAGTGAAACTAAACAGTACTTTTGCATAGCAAGAGATGAAACTGGAGAAATCATCAAAGTTTTTGTAGGGCATGCAGAAGACTTAATCAGTGTAAATAACAGGGACCTATCAGAGGGTTCAAAATTGTGGAGCAACATGATGAAGTCTGTTCTCAGGGCACTATGGAGAAACAACTGGAAAATGCAAATGAAGAGGCAGAGAAAGAGATTGGCTAAAAGTCAAACAGGAGCAACCAGCTGCAGGGCGTGACAGAGGAGATGAAAGCTTGCTTTTAGAGGATGGCAAAAGGGACAGGAAAGAATGAATAACAATCTGCTGGGAGGCTGACTCAACAGACCTTAGCAGCTGACTGAACTGGGAGAAAGAAATGAGGAGACTCCTGGGTGACTCCAATCTCTAGACTATGTAAGGACACATAACAACGAAAGGGGACATGGAGTACAAGACAAAGAACCTGCAGACATGGTGAGGGTTAAGATGTTTAACAGACTCCCATATGAAGCAAAGTGGAGGGCATCTGATTCAAACTAGAGCACAAATGAGGTTTCACAAAATGCAGAATTACTAACCAATCTGAAGATGATCAAGTTCTGGTGTGAGAAGTCCAGCAGGATAGATTTTGATCAAAAAGTAGATGTATTTATTGTTGGGAAGAACTGGTTCTTTGAACTCTGAGAGTAAGGAAGAAGATACAGGTGTATATGGCTTTACAATTTCTGTTCCTAAAAAAATTCAAAACAAAGAATTTTAAAAACTTAAGTTCTTAAAGATGAAACACATAAATTTTATGCTATCAATATTTAAAACTAATATGCAGGGCTGGGGATTTAGCTCAGCGGCATAAGCGCCTGCCTTGTAAAGCAGGCAGTCGTGAGTCCTAAAGTAATTTTACCAAATCAATACTTTAAGCATATTGTAGACAACCTATTTTTATTAAATATGGTCTAAACTCATAGGACATGCATTAACAAATTTGTCTATTCCATCAGCATATAAACTTTGTAAAGGGCCAACACCAAAATGAAAAAAAATTCCCATGGAGTACAAGAAGGTACTTACATAATAATTTTAATTATATACCAAATATTAAGTAATAGTTATTGGAAAGTGTACCTTGGTGATTTTTGTTTTTTGTTTTTTGTACTGAGAATTGAACTCTGGACCTTGTGCTTGCCAGGCAGGTGTTATGGCACTGAGCTATATTCCTGGCTCTAATAATAGTTATTGGAGGTCATGAGATCATTTTCAGAGAAAGGGAGGAATTTTACTTTTCATTTTATATATTTTCAACTATTTTTATGTTTTGACATATCATATAACACATTGGTAAGTGAATGAAAGAAATACTAATTTAACTACTTCAAAGCACACCTTACTTTCTAAAAGGTAAAATAAGAATTCACACTGCAGTTTTAGCTAGCCAACTTTCCAAGAGAAGAGTCACCACACATTTTAAAGACCAATATTTGATACACTGTCCTTAACGTATATTAGTCACACATAAATTAAATTACACTGGCAATAAATACACTGGAAGATATAAGCTCTTAAGTGGTACTCTGGAATTGGTGACAATGAAGAGGAAAACCTAAGGGTACCACTGTAATATACCATATCTACCAAAACCTAGCTAGTAATCTGTTAAGACTAATTGTTGGGAAAACAATGATTAGCACCTGAATTTACCTTCTGCAACTTCAAAAGGTCAAGAAAATATTGGATAACAAGAAGAAGGGCATTTAAAACAAGTGGGATAATTTGGGGATGAAACTAAAGGAAAAAAAGAATTCAACAAGAAATAACACAGTATACCTTTAGAGTTCCTTATACTGGTGGCTCATGTAAAAAGTAATTCATAATCATTCACTTTAAAATTTCAACTTCATAAGTGATAAAGCCACAAGAGTTAGTAAGAAGTACTACTGAGTTTCTAGTAGTAGTTTTCAGAAGACCGTTAGATACTTTTCCTCTTTCTTCAGGGTTTTGTCAGTAAAAATTACAAGGCTGATGGAATTATCTGACTAGGGCAATTTCTTTGTTCCACATGATAATGGGAACAACCATAGTTCTAACATGTGGCAGACACTGCAAACCTAGGGTCTGGCTTACACTGAATCCACCTGGCTGCCCGCAAACACTAATTACTTAGATAATTGTTTCCAGAACAGACTGGTACCTTTGAACTGCTTGTGAAGGAGCAAAATGTCCCTCCAAAGCCTGTAGGCGCCTTACCTGTGATAGTTACCTTGAGGTAAACATGTTGCCCAATTGGCACCTGGAGATGAGTGCTTGGTGGCAGCATCAAACAGAAAAGCTTCGTATCATGGGTGACATCTTCCTTGGAAACTAACTGGCACTTTCTGAAGTACAAACCTAGAAAACAGTATATTTTCTTATTGACACACACCTTACTAAAAATAATAGATCACTGAGTGAAGCGCATATTGAGCTTTGCTCACTACGAGACTTCAACTCTGCTAAAATGTCATTACATTCTAAAAGTTCATCGAAATTATAAGGCATTATTTTTTTCATTTTATTCCTCAGACATCTATTTTCTAACATGTGTAAATACTTCTATCATCTGAAAAACAAATAATTGAAATAAGCATTATTTCATTTGCTACTATAGCATGCCAAAATCATTACATCTTAAGAAAGTAAAACATAATTTTTTATAAATTTACTTTTTATGTAATTCCATCCTTTAAGCTTTATTTTTGCAATTATGTTAACTGTATATATAAAAAGTATCTGGTACTTTAATATATAATTTACATTCTATAATCATACAAAAAAGTTTTAAAATTAAAGTATTTAAAGCTTAACAATATTAGCACAATTAAACAATTGTAGAAATATCTGACAGAAGCAAGAAAAATTCTTTGTTTCTGTGTGTGTGTATATTATGCATGTATATAGATTTTAAATATTAAGATGATCAAAACAAAAAAGTTAACTTTTTTGTGGTATTAAAACAAAGTCTTTGCACTTACATTTCAACTCTTTAAATTTTGTTTTAGATTTTTTTCTTGACAATTTTTGAGGCAGGGTCTTACTATGTATTACAAGCTGCCCTTGAATTACGAAGCCCAGGCAGGCCTCAAATTCATAGTAATCTTCCTGCCTCAGCCCCCCAAGTGCTGGGATGTGTGCCACTATGCTAGACTAAATTTTATTTTAATCATTGAAACAAGGTTTCTCTAAATTGCTAAACTGCTCAGGCTAGTTTAGAATTTACAATTCTGCCTCAGCCTGTGAGAATGCTGGAATTACAGGAATGTGCCACCACATCCAACTTAAAAAATAGACTTTAAATTTAAGGTTGTATGTTTTGGTATCTCAAAAGCTAACTGAAGTGAAAAACTAAGGATGCTAAGTTTGTAGTACCAATATAAATTGACTGCAATAAAATAATTATTTTTATAAATACTGAAAATGAATATCCTATGCTCAGAAAATATCTGTATACTAATCAGAATACCATTTATAATAGAATTTAATACAGAATTTATAAAAACCACTAATATTTTGATTTGTAAATTCTCCTTACAAGTTAGCATACTAGATATGCTGTAGCATATATATGTAGCATATATGTGCTACAGCATATTTAATAATTAACATTCTAGAATAGACAGATGATAGTGGTTGAAATATTTCCTGTCTCACAAAACAGTATTTACAGAAATATAAAGGAACCAGTCTTGATAATACATTTCTTATCCTCATTATATTCTCTGTCACCTAAAAGTTTTTAAGTAGGTAGAAAAAAAATTTACTCCAGATTTTGAAAAAGCCCAAAAGGTGACAATCAATGTTTAACTGAAACCTGAAAAGCACATATAACCCTAAGAAAATATTTTGGCTACAGTTAAATCAAAAAATTCCCTTTCCTGTGTCCCCAAATGACCTTTCCACTATTACCATGGTAGCTTAACAGGAAGTAAGTTTGGGTGCACTTTTGCATGAGGAGACATCACTTCAGGTTGGCTCCCTCTAGTGCCAAGGCACAGCTAAGAGCACCACGTTAAAGGCATCCAGAAGGCCTAACCACAGGGTCAAATGACAAGGCTCATCCATAAGGAAAAATGAAAGTTCAATCAATCTTCTTATCCCTTTTTCCTCCAGAGTCTGTCCAGCGTCCATGTTGAGAAAACCACCAAAGACTCACGCTACATATCTCATTAGTTAAAAAGTATAAATCAGACAAATAACTGCCAATAATATTTGTGCTGCACCTTTAAATTTATATTTTCATAATGTCCTAGAAAGCTGGTTTCAAATTGAAGATTCTCAAACTCCTCAAAGCATCATGCAGTGACAAGCGGAGGGAGACCTGCATTTCACTGCCTGCCTGCTTTTTACCTCTGTAAGACACTGTTACAGTGATTTACTGACTTTCTTGTTAGAGCTGACATACCATTCTTGCCACTTAACACCTCTGAGACAATTCAATGATTTCCCACAAACGGCTGACAGAATTTCAAACACATATTCTAATCACAAGTTCTAAAACTTGTAAGAAAAACTTAGAGAATTTTCATCTTTCAATTTTACTAAGGAGCATCAACTGATGATTGGATGAAGAGGATGTGGTTTTTTTTTTTTTAATATAAAATGGTACTACTCTTCCATAAAGGACAAGCGGGAGACGGTCCTAAGGTAAATGGATGCCCCTTGAGCCACACTCTTAGTGAAGTAAACCAGTCACATGTGTGTAAATACTGCATGGTTTCTCTGGTGTGAAAAAGTGAAATGTAAATAAGGACCAAAATGTGTAACCGACTTTGTGAAGTTGGAAGAAAGTCCAAATGGGCAGGGGAACTAGGGAAGGATGAGGAGGAAAGGAAGAAGGGGAAAAGGAAGAAAAAAAGGATGAGAAAATAAGAAAAAGATGGAAACAAAGTTTTCATAAATAGCGAGGTGAACAGGAGTTGAAGAGAAAGCAGGGGAATGGGAAAAAAGAATCAAGTTATATCGTTACAGGTACAGATTTCCTGTAATGCATGCAGTCATTACATAAGCCTAAAATGTACCAATAAATACAATAAATAAAATTTTACTGAGGAGCAGGACGGTACAGATAGCCAGACCACGGCATAGGAGACAGGAGTGGCACACAGCAGATGTGCCGGCTGCTTCAGTCTGAAGATACCATGTACTTACATGTTGGCTTTGCCTTTGTAAGCATAATTAAATAAGAAAAAGAGAAGACTGCAAATAGTATTTTCTTTTCATTTGACACAGTCTTACTATGTAGCCAGGCTGGCCTTAAACACATGGTGATTCTCTTCCTGCTTCAGCCACCCAAGTGCAAGGGTTACAGACAGGCATGCACCACCACACCCAGCTAAAATAATATTTTAAATCAAAAATATATCCTGGGAACATTTCTGCCCCCAAAGTCTAACTTCTTTAATAAAATACATATAATAATGGGGTACTCAGGGCGACACTAAAGCCGAGGATGTGATAACTGGAGTGTACTTTTTTCCTAATATTGAAGAAACTATGTTTTCCTTTCAAAAAAAGAGAATTTCACAAAGCTAAAATAGAAAATATAGGCGAAATCTTCAATGAGAGAGAAAATAACTCTCAACAGGAGTTCACACCACCTTTAATCACGGTCTCGTCTCCCGTGCCCCACTCCCGGCCTCCCTCTCCCTGCCGGCCTCCGTCTCTTCCTTTTCCCCTTCCCCTCTCTCCTTCCTTTCTCTCCTTTCTTCTCTCCCTCTTCTCCCTCTCCCCCTCTCCCCTTCTTCCTCTCAGTCCCCTCTTGCTGCAGTGCTGGGGATGGAATTCAGGACCTTCACCCTGAACTGCCTCCCAGTCATTCATTTGTTCATTTATTTATTCATTTAAAAACTTTAAAACAGGGTCTGGCTCAGCTGTCCAGGCAAGAATCAAAGTTTTGATCCTCCCTCCTCAGTGTGTTCTACAGTGCTGAGATTACAGGTATAAACTACTGTACCAGGCTCTTAATATACTTTTAAATCCTTTAATCACCCTCTTTTCCTGAGTAGAAATACAGGCTTACAGAAGTTGAGAAGTTCACCCAAGATTACATGGCAGGTGAAGTAGATGCAAGACAGAGGAAGAAGTTATTAAAGATTCGGCCCAGCAAGTCCAGATTCCTGGCAGGGAGCTCGCTTCTTTGATATCCCCATTCTTCTACTTCTTTTTGTTTTATGTTTTGCCTTTTTTCTGAGAGACACAGAGGGTCTCATTATGTAGTTCCATAGTGCAGGCTGGTCTTGAACTCCCTCATGTAAACCAAGCTGGCCGTGAACCCAAGGCAGTCCTCCTGCCTCAGTCTCAGAGCGCTGAGATTGCAGGCTTGGCCACCAGACCCAGCTCACTCTCCTGACCAATCATATTTTTTGAGCACTTTTTACTACTTTCAGTTATTTAAATATCTCCTAATAACAATCTACCTTTCTCATTTATTTACACAGGAACTTCCTGAGTCAATGCAGGATTTTTAATTAATGGAATTACATTTAAAAATGCAATCTGCAAAAAAGATTCAATGCAAAATAAATAAAAATCCACACAGAATAAAAAAATCCACAACCTATAGCTAGGTGATAGAAAAGACGTTCCATTTAGACTCGGTCAGGCTGCAAGTCAGAGGGTCAGCTGAGTTTGGCTGTTTCTAGGACAGTGACTGGGAAGCAGTGAAGCTGACTACAAGGAAGATGTTCAGAACACCTGAGAAGAATTTTTTTGACAAAGTTAAAAATGTTGATGAACACTTTAAATATTGACAAAATAAGTCAAATTCATAGTTATCAGGATACTTTTCTATACTGAAGAAATAAAGTCTCAGGTACTATGTACTTTTGAAAGTATCAGATAATGGCATTATTTTGGTTTTTCATTTTGTTTTTCAATTGTTTTGCTTTGTATTTTTTAATCTCTCTGAGTTGCCCAGGCTGGCCTCAATTCTGCAGTCTTGCCTCATCCTCCTAATAGATGGGATCCACATTGCCTGGCTGTATTTTGTTTCTAACTACACAGCCTTTTCATTAATAGACTTCTACTTGATTATTTTATTATTCCCAACCAAAGCAACCCCCCCACACACACACATTCATAACCTATCTTCAAATACTAAAGACACAATGAAGCAGAATGCTCAAAGACTGGGTAAGATTTTTAAATTAATATTTTTTAGTTGACAAAAAAATTGATTCCTTTTTAATTAACATTATTAAAAATATTCCTAAAGTGTATTAAAATGTTTTGGGCAGGGGATTTAGCTCAGTGGCCTAAACATCTGCCTGGCAAGCACTAGGTGGTGATTTAAATCCCCAGGACCAAAAAAAAAAAAGTTTAATTACTACAAGTGGACTGATAAAACGGAATTATTCTCTCAAACTAAAGATTTAGGAAAGTTAAAGATCAGCCTTAAAAGAAAGGAAACGCTTTCTCAAAGACTAGTTTCAACAGAGCTTTGTTAAAGTAACAAAGCTATTTAGCAAGACTGCCACTAAATTTAAACACTTAATGTTTATTACCCTCTCCCTCATGTTGTAGAACTAATAATTCAGCTAATTTCATCAAGAAAGTGCTTGAGTCACTTGAATTGTTTCTAAACTTTTATCTTTTAATATAATGAAGAATTCTGTATTTGATTATTGCTTCACTACTTTGTGCTTCTTCAGGTTTCATATTCAGCCATTACAACAGCCCTGAATATGACAGGAGATAGCAAACCTCTCGCAGTTACCACGCAAGCAACAACTTCATGCCTCAGCACAATAGGCAATTTGAGGAGAAAACAAAGCACAGTGAAACTTTTATCTGACCTACACAATATGTATTTATTTCTAGTAATTATGTAGGCTCATTGAAGGCAGCAAAGAAATATGGCAGCACAGACAAGAGCGGGGAGAGTAAAAGCTATTCTTTACATACCTGCAAAAAAAGCTGCTCAATATGAAGACAACCAGCGTGGCTGTAGGGTCACATGCCCTTCAGAAAGGCCGAGTCAAATGCTGATTACAGTGTGCAGAAAAGGACAGTGGCAAGTATGGGCAATACTCCATCATGTGGTGTGTGTGTGTGTGTGTGTGTGTGTGTGTGTGTGTGTGGTGTCAGGAGCTAAGAAACCCTGATGAAAGCACACGTCAAATACATGAAACCTACCATTTTATTAGTAAAAAACTGCAACATGAGCAACTTTGTACAGTTCAACTAAAAGAATGGTAAAGGTGTGATTGAAACATATGACTGACCCTTCTCACACTCGCAAAATAGAATTTTACTCTCTAGAGAAGGTTAAACACGTGGTCACTGTGTGTATTATAGACGAACGCCTCCACCCACCAATCACAAGTTGAAGTCACAGTACCTACTACCTCCGAATGTGACTATCCTTGGAAACAGCATCTTTTGAAAGGTAATTAAGAAATGAAATCACTAGGGTGGCCCTAATCTAACATTAATGGTGTCCTTATAAGGAGAAATGACACAGAGGAATACCATGTGAAAATACAGAAAGACAGCCATCTATGCAAACCAAGGAGAGAGGCCTCAGAAGAGACCAATCTTGCCAACATCTTGATATTGGACTTCTAAGCACTAGTACCACAGAGAAAATCAATTTATATTGCAAGTCACTCGGTCTGTATTAAGTCTGTCAATAGACTAATACAGTATTTTAATTTTAAAAAAGGAAACTATGGCTATCTCAGTCGTCTTTCCCCACACAGGTTTCAAAAGGCTGGATGCAAGATTATTCACTATGCGGAGTTTGACAAGGAATTGGAATCACATGTTTCCCAAAGAAATGACCAACTGTATCATTAACAATACGGCCAAAAGTTACCCCAAGATGTGCAATCTCCAATCAGCTTAACCAGAAGACAACTAAGGGCTAGCAAGCACTCAAACAAAGCACCGAACATGAAAGATAGTAAAACAAGCACAAAAATCAAAATTTGGGAACATGGAGATCATACAGGGGAAAGAAAAACTCTAAAATATTATCAGCAATTCTTAATAATACAACAGACGTGAAAAAAACAGATGGTAAAACAAAGGAACAAAAATTAAGAAAGTCGTTAAAAATAAAATCAAGTAACTTGAAGAGCTAAAAGACACAGCTGAAGAACTGTCAAAAAAGGTAAGAAAGAAAGACACAATTAAGAAGAGAAAGTATTTACATGACTGGCTATGGAAATTCAGTACCAAAATATGTCTAGAAAGCAAAAATGAAACATTGGAACAAAGGGTGAGGACATAGCATGAAGGATTAAAAATAAAATCCACCTTATGGCCACCGAAACTTCAAAACACTTGGAACAAGAACAAATCCTAACAGTTTTGTGAAATTTTATAAAGTAGAGCACTTATACTATATATACCACACTTTAATTATGATTAAAAACTTTAAAAAAGGAAATGAGTATCTGCACATTTTAGGAGTAAACTGAAAACTGGCTTGCTAAGCAGAAACATATTGAAACATACCTTTTAGAGAAAAAAAATCCGATGCACATAAGGAAAACTACAAACTTGTTTGTCTGTTTTTTTTCTAAAAAGTCCTCGAAATAGTGGTGAATGGTTGAACAAGTCTAAGCAAAAGTGGGTTTCTTCATTTAAAGTATTATTACCTGATGATTTTGTTATACCTAAATACTGATAGTACAAACTAATTTAATCTCTTTGAAACAAACAACCTTTTAAATTCATTCCAAAGAAATTTTTCAGTCTCTGAAAGAATTCTGCCAGTAATATAACAATTTTATGAATATGTATATTATACAAAAAGTAACAGCACAGCATACCTGTATCTTTCTTTGGAATAAGGACATTATGCTTCTCCAGAGGAAGGCCAAGACATTTCCATAAAGTATTTCCCTTTTTTTTAAGGACAATCTCTATTTTTCCCACATTCTCAACAACTCGCACTGAAAGGAGAATAAATTAAAGTTGTATAATTGACGTTACTTAAAATATTTTGTTTTAAGACCAATCTTTCTCATTCAAATAATTCTGATCTTTTACAATGAAACTGATTATTGGTTGGAAAAATGAAAATTTGCTGATATACTTATCAAATGATTGATGCCACATGTGATATTAAACTCTACTTAATTTGTTTGGATTCTGAATTCCTTTCATAATTTATCAAGGGCAAAACTAATAGTGTTGTTTTGCTAATTTTCAACCAATCTCAAATAGAGCTATACCAACTAATCAACATACAACTAAAAACAGGGAGTGGGAGACAGACATGTACAAATTACCACTGAATAAACCAACAAAAATAAACTTAATTAACTCCCCTTTTAATATTTCTTAGTTGGCATTTGAGGGGTTAAGAGTAAATTCAGTGGAAAATTACTGAGCTTGAGAACACAAGAACAGCTTTAGGTTTACTAGTTTCTAGTGAATATGGAATTAATGAATAAAGTGTCTGTGAATCTTTGATAATTAAAAATATTTTAGATTATCTTTTTCCGTTTTGAATGGCTAAACAGTTTAGATTATATGGGTATAATAAAAACATATTCACCACATGGATTTGAATTTTGTGAGCTGAAGATTCTTTTAAAGATATAAAAGATTTCGTTTTTTAGAAATGTATCTGCTCCTCCTCAGAACCCAGAAACAATTTAACAGCTTTTAAAATACAGTAGTCAAATGAATTCAGTTTTTTGATCACTGTTCTGAAGTATAACCAAAATAGAAAATGGTCCCTGACTTTACAAAGCTTACTGCAATACATACAAAAAGTGAGGCATTAAAGCAGTGTAATTTACTGTGAGGATACCAGGAAATAACAAACCACTCTTCTATGGAGAGTCTTCTGTTGTTAATAGTTGTGTAAAATACACACTGCACACATATATGCAGCAACCATAATAGTTTCAGAATGCTCTGCTAACATTAACCATGTAAATAAACACATCCAGGAAAAAACCGTCTGGTTTAGTATATATCTAAAGGTTATATATCAGAGAGGACCTAAGTGAAGAAGGAAAGAGAAATGGAAAGGATGCAGGAACTTTTATTTTCATATTTTTAAGAAGAGAAAAAGTACACAAATAGTTGAAAAGAATAAGGAGGAAGAAAAAAAACAGGAGTGTACTTTGAAATTTATGTATTTGTTCATATAGAAAACAACAAGATCACACACATCTTTATTTTGCAATATGAAAATATACAGATGAAAAATAAGACAAATGCAGAGTTCTCTCTCTGTGCATGGATTTTGTTTGAGCAAATCCACATATATGAATTTTTGGGAACTTACCAGAAAAAGTTTCCTCAACCTCATGGCTTAGCCCTGGAATAGACAAAAATGTTTTCTGTTAAAAATCTAGAATGAGTCCATACAGTTTATGAATATCATATAAGATCATTTTATACAATCATTTTTATTTCAAATTCCTCTAGACAATGAAAACATTCTGAGAGACTAAAAGAAAGAAATTATACATAAACAAAATTGAGTCAAATTATTTAAGTATGTATTTCTTCCATTTTTCTATTTATCTCCTTATCACCTGAAGAGCAAATACTTAATTGCCCACAGGTTAATAACTCACACTAGTTCAAGCATGGTCCCAGCCTGACAGAGCTACAAAGCACGAAGGGAGTAGGTTAGGGTGACACATGCACCCCCAATGTGATTTCACATGCACATGGGAATATAATATTTTAAAAATTTGTCTTGAGAATCCATGTATACCAGTTACCTTCCAATTATTATGAATACAAAGAATTAGAGAAAAATATTTATCTGTCTTTATGGAACTTACATTCTAGAAATGGGAGATGTAACAAATATTTTTATAGATATCTGCTCCGGCTGGGCGTGGTGATGCAAGCCTGTAATTCCAGCACCTAGGAGCCTAAGGCAAGAAAACTGCTTCGAGATGGAGGTCAGCCTAGGCTATACAGTGAGTGAGTTCAAGGTCAACCTGAACTATATAGTAAGATCCTGCCTTAAAAAACCAATAGACAGAGAGACACACACAGAGAGAGAGAGAGAGAGAGAGAGAGAGAGAGAGAGAGAGAGAGAGACAGGCCAAACTAATATCTGCTCTGAATTTCACATGAGACTTAGAACTTGGCATAACTTTGGCATTTCCAACACAGTATTGACAATCAGGAGTTTAATATGTCTGACTGAAACTTTTGTCTGTCTGTCTGTCTGTCTGTCTGTCTGTCTGTGTATATATATATATGTTGGTGCAGGGTCCCCTGTTTTCCCCATTTATTTGTCTTGCATGAGAAGTACAAAGTGCCTGGACTGCTGTATACTTAACCAGCTACGGGTTTTTATCTATATGTTTCAACGCAACCAAAGGCTATGAATATTTCTAAGGACTGATTAAGGGGTTTAAATTGTTGCCCAAAACACTGAGAAAACTACTTTGAGTATAAAGATTTAAGTTGGTGAATGTAATGAACTGCAGTGGCCAGGGGACAGTGGGGTGGGGTGAGGGGGGGAATCAGCTTAGACCAAATTCAGAACTAAGGATACTTCATTTATGTAGCATAGTGGTAAGCAAAAACCTAAATCAATCTGAGCACGGAGAATTTCAGCCTGTGGTTTGCAAATTAACCAAAATCTTCTTTATGTAAAAATTGCACACTTAAAGTTCCATGACTAAGATTATTTTTGTTAGTATTGTGTTGTTTGTGTATTTGAGTGTGCTATTTCTACCTTCTAACTAAAAAGATTACCATAATATCATAAAAGGAGAAAATAGTGAAATTCTGAAGTGGAGTTTATTATAGGTGAGAACTGGATTAAATTTTATCTTTGAATCCAGATTTTGATTCATGATTTCCTTCTTCTAATAGATTTGTAATTTTTCAAAACTGACAGAAGTGAGTGAGCTGGCACGCTTGGACCACGAGGAGAAAGCAGGACAAAGGACATAGGACAGACGTGAAGCCCAGCTCTTCTGTGGCAGCCTCAGACTTCCTGCGACAGAGCTGGCAAGAAATAGGCCAACAGGATGGGTCACCTAGCGAGGGCTGCGCAGCACAAACATGACTACCAAACCCCACAGGCTTGTGAAATGTCAGGCTTGTGAAAGAAACCGAAAGGAGTCCAATAAATTATGGATTCTGATTGTATCTAATTGCTTTAAGTTGGAAAGGTAAGCTCAGGCTGCCATTTGTTAGCACTTGTACTAAAATCACATGAAAAAATGGATCAAAAAATAACAAAACAAAGTGAAAACAGTAGACAAAATGTTATAGCTATCTAGACTGTAGAATGTGATTGCCATAATCAGAGGCATTCCATTAATAAAAACAAGGTACTCACCAACATGTATAAAATATGAATGATCCTTGATAATTGCTTCTGCTCTAAAGGAATCATCTTGATGATCAACTATTACTGAATCTAAACTGATATCCTTAAACAGAAAGCAAAGCAAAGTTAGAAAAATTAAAAATTAAAATTTTCTCTTTACTCCCACAACTCTATCTTCACTTCTCTTATGCAAACTAGTTCTCCTTCAAAGTACTTATCACAATTTTAATTATACATGTATCTGTTTAATATCACTTTACCCAGCAGTCTATAAGCTTTAAGTTAAGGGGATATCGTTAAAGCACCGTTTGACATCTAGGAGATACTCAATAAATATTTGGCAAAAACAAGCACAATGGCAAAATGTATAATTAGACCAGAAACCAAGATTTTGCACTTATTTCAATTATTCCTTTATTATGTGATACTAGAGAAATTGCACAGCCATTCACCCTCAGCTTACAAAGAAATTCACCAACAAATTTTAGATGTCTAATTTCTACATTGCCTTGATGCAAGGCATTTTGGCACCCATCATTGACGGTATAAACTAAAAGCGTTATCGCCCATAGAAAACCTTCCCCCTCTCTTAGCAGCTACCTTCTATGGTCTGTTTTATTACCTTCTAGAAGGCGACTGACTACTTTCTATTACCAGTAAGAGAGGAAGGACCCCAACCTTCCCAGACCCTGCTGTCTTCCTTTTGGATGTTGGTGAGGAGACAATAGTGAGAAGCAGAAGGCAGGCCAAGCAGTTTCTCTGCACCTCTTGGCTGTATTAGGCAAAAGCTGTTACCTCTCCAGAATGGTCAGATCATGCTGCAAGAGTCATAGGAGCTCATGGGTTCCGGGGTGGTTCTGCTACCACAGAAGTAGTATAAATTCTGTAAATTCCTAGCTATCAAAACTTACCTTTTAATCCACGTGTGGGGTCAACAGTTGTTGGAAGATGTGCTTGGATATATACTAAATTATCTGATTATCTATTCAATTCTCCAGCTGAACTGTGAGCTCTGTGAAAGGCAGTTCTCTATGTATCCAGTCCATTACTAGCTCCTGACAACACTTAACATAAAGGTGTTACACAAAGACTTATAGAATGAATTGTTTCACTTACTTTCGTTTATAAAAAGGGATCTGAACACCTTTAGTGGTTTAAACATATAAACCACAGCAGTGCAGTCTTTCTTATCCAAATTTATATTCTAGAAAATTTATTCTTAAGAAGTTAACTATGCTTTGCTTTTCTCGCCCATGTTTTTAAAAAATTCACAGAGAAGCATACTAAATACTTTCAAGTCTAATTTAAGAGCCCACAGTATACACCAGGCAGGAATCAGACTGTTGTGTTTCTGAACACTAGTGCTCCTTTGGGTAAATTATTTAATCTTTCTGCTTGTGTGTAAACTAGAGATAATAGTCTCTATCTCACAGAGTTGTAAGGAATAAATAAGCTAATGTAAGAAAAGTGCTTTAAAAAGGACTTGGCACTGCACATGATTAGCATTTTATTAACATTTATTATTTACTTTTTCCCCATATTTTTAATAATGTGCTTACCTTTTGTTTAGTATATATGACAATGGTTACTAAAGAGTCTGTTTGGAACCAGTCATAGCTGTAAAATATTAAGAAGAAAACAAATACTTATATTGATAATGGTGTGCATTAATGCATATAAAAATCATTATATGATTAAAATTTTCAGTGAGAAATATATTTCCCTAGCTTAAACCTTTATCTAAATAGTTGCCATAATACTTTACATTCTTTATTAAACAGCTGACAACTATTTCTAAATTTAAAATATCTATACTTCCAGGCTTTCGGGTAAAAAACAAAATAATATGGTTAAGATATTTTTTGTGAAAAGTTATACACCTTCCTACTAAAATCTTTTATCAGAGCAATGACAGCATATAGTACGTTTTGCTAAGAATAAAATAGTATGTACTGATACAGAAAGGCAGTAAGAGAAAGAATTATAAAGAAAACATATAGATCTGAAGGCATTTGAAGTATCATTAGCAAAAATATATATGCATTATTAAATTTAGTGTTAACTACTTAATTGATAATTATTTTAATTGATACAGTAATTTTCAAATATGTTCATTAAAACTTATATTACCAAGCCAGATATAAAAAATTGAATAGCTAAAAGAATTTATAGACTGACCATATGAAAAAATGCAACATAATGTTACACAGAATATATAATAAAACAGAAACTTGCTCACAGAAGAATACACTACAATGTCAGTATTATAAAAATAGTTTAACATAAGCCAGGTGTGATGGCACATGCCTGTAATCTTGGCACTCAGGAGACTGAGGCCGAAGCATCTTTATGAGTGTGAGACCAGTCTGGGCTACAAAGTGAGCTCAAGGCTAGCATGAACTGCATAGCGAGACCCTGTCTCAAAAAGACAAACAAAACAAAACAAAACACACAAAAAATAATGTCATGTAGGCATTGCTATTATTGGCCAAACTAGATGGAAGAAGTCAAATCTTAAGAGTTTACATCTAAGGTTGGTGAGTCACATACTTCTATCACATTCTTTTGTATTTCTTTGTATTTTCTATGATGAATGTGTATTTTTATGATCAGAAAAAAATTCAAAAATTTATATGTTTAAAAAGAATCAAATTCAGTTACATTTCCAATTCACATTTATAGCACAGCTCAGTCTCCAACATCTGACAATGAAGCACTATATAATACAGTTCATGTGTCAAAAAAGAATGATTAATAATAATTAAAGCTAGAGCTGGTTCCATCTCATAAATGTGTATATTTTTGTGTAGATATTATTAATTTTTAAAAAGTAAAACAGGAGTATATACCTTGGGGAATTAAGACCTTCTTCGGCAAGTGTATGTGCCACTTGGGTCTTGGGAAACATACCTTGGCAGAGAAACAACAACAAAATAGCAACAATTCACATACAAAGCAGTTACATTTTTCTCTAAAAAAATGTCTTTTCAGTTAACTTCTTGAACTATTATATACATACATAAGAGTACATAATTATAAATGTAGAATTTTCATAAAGTCAAACCCAAATCCTTGTACCCAACACCCTCTCTGTGCCCCTCCCCCAAGGATATCCAATGTGACTTTTAACACTATGATTAGTTTTTGCCTATTTGACTTCATATGGAAGAAATCATAGACCATTTCAAAAGAAGATATGGTAACTCATCTGGCAATCAAGCTGTGAGCTGCATTTCTATAACTTTTCTTCTTTTTAGATTCTATTTCTAAATGTACAATAATACAGTTCAGTCGGAGAAGCCACAGGCATTTCATAAATCAGTACTGACTAGCACTTCAAATTTTGGTAAGAGGGGATCAGTATCAGACATTAACAGCAAGTCACACTGAACAGCTGAGGAAGTCAGTGTGGCTCAGCCCAGAAGATTACATTAACACGCCCTTTAGCATTTATGTACGAACACTGGAGGTGACCTCACAGGCCCAGAGAGATGACCTATTCAGACATTTTTAATCATTAAAGTTACTCAAGCTTTGGGCAGACGAACATGTGCTCAGCAATGCCAAACAGGAATTATTTTAAGAGTAATGGATGGGATAAGGGGCCCATAAATTTCTGTCATCCTCTACGTTTGGGCAAGTAAACATATCTTTATGTTAAAAAGAATTTTACTCCACACAATTCTGTGAAGAAATTTTTATTTTAAATTAATATGACTCACCATTTAAGGCTCTCTTTTCTTCATCACATTCTGTATAGTGATTTGAAGGAAAAAAAATTAGTTAAGATTACTACAACGTCAGAGCCTATCAGAACATTTTACTGGTTTAACCATATTAGCCCCTCCTTGAAGAGCTTTCTTCTAATGTCTGAGAATACAGCTGGTGGCCTTTGATTCAAATAAGTAAGTTTCACCTCTAAAAATTACCATGTTATTTCTCTAGATGTTAGAGTCTCATTTCACTGGGCCTTTTCTACTTCTTTGAGATTTTTTTTCTGGTTATCTTTGTTAATCTCTGCCCCTCCCACCTAGTACAGTAAATGAACAGAGGATCTTGGAAATGCTACATAAGAGCTTACCACTGAGCTCAAGACCCCCAGTCAATTTCTCTAGAAAGCATATAAATCCCAAGTTTTGCCAGGTCATCATATTCTAAATTAATCTAAATAAATAGAATTTATTAGATTATAAAACAGGACACACATGTCAATGACCCAACCAACCAAAGAGATATTATCTGGCTGTTTTACTAATATTAACACTTAAAAATCAACACTGTTATAAGTTTAACATGGCTAAATTGATGAAAATATGTTTATGCATATATACATACATACATACATATATGTTAAGGCCCAGAGGGAAAAATGATAGGTATTTTCAGGATGGCAGCAAATTCACAAAGTTACAGATACTCATTATGGTCAAAATAAACTCCAAGCAAGTTGTTAGAATTAAAAAAAAACAACTTAAAAATGATAATAGGCTAATATTTAAGTAAATTGAAAGACATTACTTGTTAACATTAATCATCATGTTTCACAGACAAAGAAAGTAATGTACTTAAAACTTTAAATTTTTTGGTATCATATTTTCCAACCATTAGAAATTCTATAATTACCTATACTATTTCATCTGTCACAAAACAATCACAATTAAGGAGACCTGATAACTATCCACAATCACAATTAAAGATACCAGATGACCATCCTTTTCATTTTCCTCATTTTACCAAAATTTTATAATTAAAAAAGATCTTAATATAGAACAGATTATCATCCAGTTCCCTCACTTAAGAATGAAAATTTCAAGACCCCATCATGTAACATAGAGACAGCAGTATTCGCCCTGGAAGTTGCACCCTGGGAAGCACACATACTTGAAAATGGGGGAATGAGAAGGCAATCTGAAGAATTCCCCACCAAGAATTTCAGTGTCAAGGATATTTAGGAAAAAGAAGCAGGGCCCATCCTTGATATGTTGCATGCACATGAGATCCAGCAAATAAGCCATCTTGGAAAAAAATCTAACCAAGAGGAAAAGCCTAGCATAGCAGCAGCAGCCAGCTTGTGACAGCTGGCACCCAGCCCAGCAGCCACGGTCTAGTGCCTTTCTGTCCTAACTTCCTCCTTCTGGGAAATAGAGATTAGGGCACTAGACAAAAAATTGAAAATCATAGGATCATTCAGAGGGCAGTGACTGAAATTGCACTGGTAAGCTGTTGAGAAAGAAACAAATAAGGGCACAGTCCTGGTTAGAAACCTGGAACTGGACACAGAGAGCCACAGTTCAGTGAGTTAAAGGTGAAAGTCATTGCCCTAGTATAAATTATTGCACAGTTACAGCAATGGTCTAACATGGCAGAAAGCCAAAGGGGGAAGGCTCACCCTGACGGCCACTGGCCACTTCCTCTTTCTTCCCCTTCAGCCCACATTGTTACTTTTCCATTTGCACATTAAGAAAATTCCAATCAGTTCCTCGCATGTCACCAATGCCCGCCCCATGCACCACTTCCAATCAGAGGTCATATAACCTCTGTCCCTCTGTACCTGTTTAGAAGGAGAAAGCCACACCTCTGAGGATGGTGGGCTCCTCCCTCCCCATGTCCTCAAATAAATGGCCATTTTCACCTTGGCTTTTCTTCTGTTTCTTTACTGCACCAGAAAACTAACATTTTGGTGCCGAAACCCAGGAAACTGGCAGAGTGTGTTGGCTCCTGGGGGTTACCTCCGGTCTTGAGCTTCCTCTGCCTCTTTTCCTCTTACGAGCCTCTTTTCCTTCTTCCAGGACCTGCTTATTTGATGCTCCTAGTCTGATCCAATACCAACCCACCTCATTTGTCACAGGTGAGATACCATTTTCTGAGGTTTACTATTTCAATTTCTCAGTGGATAACAGCTTTCACATTCCTCCAATAACCAAGGCAATGCTGTTTGCAGCCTTAGAAATTCATAAGCTTTTGTCAGAGAACCTATCTGTTGCCATCCGTGGACAAAGCAGTTTTCACACTCTTTGAGCAGGACAGCCTGAGGCAAAACTGTTACCCTCTTGTTCTCTGGGACCACGACCCACACTCTCAGTGATGGCTGATGAAAATGGATGTTGGGACCTTTCTTGTCACACTTTCAAAATAGGTGACAACTTTTTTCGATAAGTGTGCCTCAGTACAGTTTTTATGTCCTTGGTGGAGAGGGCTAAAGTTCTTACATCCAGAGGCAAAGTTTCTCACCTCTAATTCAGTCCTGTCCCCCAAAAAGCACACCTCTGGGGTGCTTGGTTCATAACCTTGGTGCTCCTGGCCTAAAAAAAAAGGCTACAAAAACAAAAAAACCCTGATCTTTCACTGCTGGGTGGCTTGGCCAACCTAGCAGCTTAATGGCAGCCCATGTCCTAAGGGAGGGTCGTTTGACCCCTCTATCCTTCAAAATTTATATAACTTTTGTCACAACAGTGGCAAGTTGGCAGAAACCCCTTATGGCTCAGGCCTTTCTCACTTTGAGGATGTGTTCTTCTCTCATTCAGTGTTGTACAGCAGCCCAGATACTTCTGGCTCACTCTGTTCCACCAGGATCTTTCCCTTCCTCCCCACCAGACTCCTTAGACAGTGTGCCTCCTGTCTTTACTGCTCCTCTCTCCTTTAGTCCAAACTCCTCAACTCGAGCCATCTATCCTGTCAGACAGCCCCACTTCTTCTGTCCCCGCTACTCCTGTGTCACCATTCTCCTCGCCAGCTCACCATACTGGGTCTCACAGGTTTCAATTGCCTAGCAGACAGCATGGTGCTCAAATGCCACCTCACAGTCCCAAGCCATATGCTCCTCATCAGCAATCTTGCTGCAGCTCACAAGGAGGTCAGGTATCATCATGCAGTCCCTCATCATGTGTTCAGCAGCAGTCATCCCGTTGTGGGTCTTATGGTAACGAGTCACAATCTTGTGCTTCCCTGTCACATGCTGACAAGTGGTCATTTTATGGTCAGTCTCCCTGTAACCGCTGGATGTCTGCTGGATGACTGGCTGCTCAGTGGCAATCTACACTCCCACTCCACAGCATTCTCAGCCTCAACCCCTATTTCCCCCTTCTGCTTCAAAACAGACCACACATTAGTCATAAAACATGTGCAAATAAAAAAAATTGAAATGATATTACAACGAAATTAGAAATCAATAGCAAAAGAAACTACAGAAACTATACAAACACATAGAAATTGAATAATTCACAGCTGAAATCAATGGAACACAGAAAAAAAAATCAAAGAAGAAAGTAATAAGTCCCTAGTCTCAAATGGCAAACAATATCCAAAACTATGAGACACAATGAAAATACTAGAAGAGGGAAGTTTAAAGCCATGAATGCTCACATTAGAAAAAGTGCCCCTAAATAAGTAACATAATGATGGACCTCAAGTTCCCAGGAAAACAAGAATAACTCAAATCCAAGACTTGTGAAAAAACAATAAATACCAGAGCAGAAATTAATAAAGTTGAGGAAAAAAGACAAAGGATCAATGAATCAAATGGTTGGTTCTTTGAAAGGATAAGTGAGAGTGATAAACCTCAGCCAAACATACCAAAGAAAGAGATGCAATAAGAAATTAAGAAGATAAAATCACAAGGGACAACACTGAAATCCAGAGGATGATTATAAGAAACTATTTTTTAAAACATATCTTCCAATAAATTAGGGAATCTAGAAGAAATGGATAAGTTCTTAGACAGATATGAATACTAATACTTAAGAAGATATAAACCCTGAACAGGCTAATAGCAAACTAGAGGCCACAATAAAAACTCTACCAATTAAGAAAAATTCAGTATCTGACAGCTTTCCCACTTAATTTTCTAGAACTCTCTGGATGTGGCAGTGCATGTCTGTAATTGCAGCACTTGGGAGGTTAAGGCAAGAGGATTGACGAAAACTGGAGGCCAATCTGGGCTCCATGGTGAGTTCAAGGCCAGGCTGAACTACATAGTGAGACCCTGTTTTGGAAAACACAATGTTTATGACAGAGCTTTTAGGAAACATTAATGCCACCACACCTCTTATTCCTTGAAGCTAGTCTTGCCCTGATATGAAAACCAGAGAATGACTCACAAAAAAAGAAAACTATAGGACAATTTTTTCAAATAAACAGATACAAAAATCATCAACAACACTTCCAACCAAAGGCAACAAATCATTAAATAGATCATGACACATCTTGACCACAGACACAGAAAAACCCTCTGAAAAAATCCAACATCCGTTCTTCAGAAAAACAAAATCCTGATTAAAAAAAAAGTTACAGAATGTCCTTATATCATACTGATAAAAGCCATTTATGACAAGACCACTGATCACATCATGGGCAAAATGGGGAAAAACTAAAAAGCATTTCTTCTAAAATCAGGAACAAGATCAATGTGTTTATTCTTACCACTCCTGTTCAACACAGTACTTCAAGCTTTAGACAGAGCAATCAGGCAAGAGAAAGAAGAGAGGATATGAACAGGAAAGGAAGGCGTTAAGCTATCCTTATTCACAGAAAACATGATCCTTTACAGAGAAGATCCAACAGCTCTACCAAAAGACTCTTAGAAATAATAAATAAAATCAGCACACAACATTCAATCATGTTCTTGTACACCAACAGTGAACTGGAAAAGAAATCAAGAGTAACATCCCACTCCCAGTGTGTATGTATATATATTTATATATGTATATGTATGTGTATATATATATATTTATAAAGCTATAAATAACAACAAAAA